GAATTTACTACTAAATTACTGGTGAATAGTGCTGAATTAGAAAAAAAATACTACTAAACATCTATTTTCCTATGGATTGGCCCTCCCCATCCTATTTCAGTGGCACTTGGCCCCTCTAATTCAAATTTTCTGCCTCCGCCACTGCTCCAGCCAGAGATGCCGGCGCAATGGACTAATATCCTGTAGGTATCTAAATAGAATTTGGACTCTTTGTAATAAGCGTGTCCACTTTCCATCTCCCATGCAACTGCTCCCATGTACACTTTCCATCTCCCATGCAACTGCTCCCATGTACACTTTCCATCTCCCATGCAACTGCTCCCATGTATAATTTTTTAGGTCACGTACCGACTCGTAAGATGTGTGGCCGGCCGGCCGGCCGCTTCGCTTTGTTCAATTTAAGTTTCCTTTATACGTACTTCTTGGTTTCATTTGTATCGTCTCGTTTTTTTGTTTGCACATTTGTCCGTTAAACGGACAAAACTATAAATAAAATAATGTACGTAAAAATATTTAAAATAGGACGAAACATCACAGGACGAAACCAAGAATACATATTCTCTTTAATAGTAAAAAAATAGAAGTATAGATATAAATATAGATATGCATAATGCAAAGAAAAATATGATGATGGGATGGGCCCTGGCCCCTGCTGGCCACCCCTACCTCTACCATTGTGATTGTGCACAACATGATTGCTGGTTGTCAAGGATGAGAGTGATGGAGTTCGTCATGGTCTGGAATTTTAAACATGGGTGATCCAAGTTTCTAGACCCGTCCCGTAAATGAATGCGTGAGCAGCTCTAGAAAGATCTGGTTGAGTATCTTTGGACGTTTCATCTGGACAATTAGAGCATTGTCTGACTAAGTTGAAGTTTCAAAATTTTATAATTGCTTTAAAGAGTACACAAATTATATTGGAAACAAACATTTGATGCCTAATATTGGCATAAAAGTTGGTTGGCTAAAGTTTATGATGGCTGAGGTCCATTTGGTGAGGTCCTCCCAACATTTTCAGGCTGCAGGTGAGACTGCCCGTGGGCATCCCACCCCAACCCCACCTGATCCCGCTACACATTGGTGGGGAATATTGGTTTACCCACCAAAAATTACGTTGGTTCGGTGGGGTTAAGTGGGAACCCGGCCCAATTAAGAAAACGAATCGATGACCAGGCCGCTCTCTCTCTCTCTCTCTCTCTCTCTCTATCTCGACAAAGCAAATTCCCATCGATCATCTTCTCGCGTTCGTCTCGTCGGCCGCCATCAGGCATGTCCAAATCACCTGGCTCGCCGCCGGCATGCTGGACCTCCTCACGCCGTTGCGTTTCTCGCCCGTCCATCTGTCTTCCCTGTTGCCTCCGCCGCCAGCCAAGCCTTGAAGGACCTCCGCCGTCACTCAACTCCTCCCTGCCGCCCGGCCGACGACCTCAAATCAGACTCTTCTTCATTTTCTCTTTCAAAAAATCGCCACTATAAAACGAGCACCGACGTCAGTTGTGTCCTCCCTGCTGGCGATCTCGGCATGGACATTCTCTTTACTGGGCGTCGAGGACTCGAGGTCGGAGTTGGCGGAGGAGGGGCGAGGTGCGAGGCGGTGGTGCGAGGTGTAGCCAGCAGAAGGTGCGGCGGCGAAGTGGAGCGCCGCTGCCACCTGGAATTTGTGCACTCGGGTGGGGTGTCCTCGGGGGAAGTGGCTTGCTCTATCCACTCTAGATTGGGCACTCAAGGCTCAAGTAACAAGTGGGTTACGGTGGGTTCCCAACGGGCTAATAGGACTAGCCCACTTAATATTTTTCTTGTCCAATGGGAGTCCACTAATGTAATTTAAGTGGGATGAGATGATTAGTCCCACTTAGACCCACCTCCACCTGCAGTGTGGACTAGCCCACTTAATATTTTTCTTGTCCAATGGGAGTCCACTAATGTAATTTAAGTGGGATGGGATGATTAGTCCCACTTAGACCCACCTCCACCTGCAGTGTGACAACATTTGGTGAGGTCCATTTGATGGAGTTGCCCTAACCAATAGTCACTGTTGTTTTGCAAAATATTGGCATAAAAATTGGTTGGCAAAAGTTGCCACATGTTTACAAGTTCTAGTTTTGGCCAAAATTGGCTGCATACCAATCAGGCTCATAAATTCAACCACCATTGTATCGTAGGCATCATACCATCAAGTTCGTTGCAAGCATTAATATGAAGCTTGAGACTTGAACTGTTTCACAGAGCTATTTTAAAAAACTAGGCTACTCCCCTTTTCATTATTTTATGACGAAAAGGCTAAATTTATCCACAAGAAAACCAAAGAAACAAGGGCCGGGAGAGAGTTGATTACGTCAACCCTTTTCATACCGTTATTATACTAACCAGAGCTCAGGCATCCGCCAGAAACCGACCACCTACCGCCTGCAATCAGACTAAGTCCATGGGGCAAAAACCTGGCACCGCAACCATACAAACGTCTACCACCTAGACAGTTCAAAACACGAGCAGAAACTGAACAGCAACAGAAGTATTTCGCAGAGCTATTTTACTGGAGTAAATCAAGATAGCATATTATAGATATGTAGACTGATCGATCTCCCAAACATCACTACATAAAACCATCATGCAAAACTTAAACTCAAAAACATCACATCCAAACTAGGGGGGAGTTCACTCCATTGGGCTAGCGCCAAAGCCACCGCCACCGCCGCCACCACGGCCAAAGCCACCGCCACCACCACGGCCAAAGCCGCCGCCACCAGAGCTCTGAAACATTTCAGAGTGGAAAATATCAGAGAAATCATCCATATCAACAGAAACATGCAGTCACTTAGTTTTCTAAATTATTATTTCAATAATTGTATCGATAACATGCATTTCTTCTGCTCATGGCAAGATTTAAGTATAGACCTTTTGCAAAGAAAAGTGTGCAAACTATGAAACTAAGAATGGGACTCTTGAGAATGAAACAAAATACAGGTGAATACAAAAAGCTACTCAAGTGCACAGAACAATACTATGATCAAAAACAGATGAGGATTCAAACAGATATTCTAAGCTATTGTATTTATCTTGGCTGTAAATTGCTATGCTAAATCATACAACCAAAACAAGACAGGAGCACATCAAGTAGACAAGTTAATTACCCTGAATGATGGCTGGAACTCTGCAGGGGCTCCACCTTTCTCACCACCAAAGTCACCAGGTGCACCACGAGGACCGCCACGGTAGCCATCCCTGTCGCCATACCTAGGCCTGTCACCCTCAAAGCGAGGTGGCCCCCTACAAAAGGTCCAATCAAAATAAGCAACATTAAAAGCTTGCCTTGGCAACAGTAAAATCATCAAGAGGATAAATAAACATAGTAACATAACCCAACCACATTTGCAAATCCTGAACACAAACATATTGAAGTCTACATAATAAAATCAAAGGACCAACAAATAAGACAAGGAGGTGCATCCACAAATGGAAGTAAACCATACATTAAAAAGTCTAACCATCATGCAAGATAGATCAAGTCTACAGAATAACCCAAGGAGTTAACACAACCCCTTCCAAAAGAGAATTTTCAAGTTCATACTGCTATGATGTAAAGCTATGTCTACAGATTAGAGCCTGCACCTTAAAACATCAAGTCAAATCACATACAGTCAGAATGGAGACATTTAATATAACACAATCAGCCATCGTAAACTAAAGTTAGTAGTCATTTTCATTAGTCAAGTAAGTGCAACTGAGATCATCCCGGAGCTACTGAAAGGTATAGCAAGGACAATGGCATTGTAACAAAAGAGATGATTTGCATATTCCCAAGAGCAATAGCAAATGAACTATACCTTGGGCGGTCACCAGGTGGGCCAGAACCGAGAGGGCGGCCAGGAGGCCTGGCAGACTTCTTGAGCGTGGCAGGCACGATCTCAGATGGCAGGTTGAGGAAGTTGCGCAGGAACTCGATGCCATCGTTGGTGAGGTACCAATAATAGTGCTGCCACGAGAAGGTCTCCCTGACGTATTCCTTAGACTTGAAGCTCTGCATGAGCTTGATCACCTGGAGGTTCGGCACGTCAATCTGCGGGTGCTTCGCCAGGTTGTAGTCTTTCTTGGCATAAAGCACTCCCTCTGCAATAGCACATATATGCATCAGATAAAATGGTTTCACAAATAAATGTGACTTCACATGAAATAATTTTCAAAATTTCTGGTGTAGCAAGTTAAGAGTTATGACAAACCAGAGCATGGAATCTTTCATTTGATTTCTGATGTACTACATGATTTGAGGACATACCATCAAGTAAATGATGTCACCAATAAATATGGCATTAGGTGAATTCAGTTTCGTATTTCCTGGTGTAGGAACTCATAACAAGCGGAAAAAAATTATATGAGACCAGGTCTCACGGTTAGCAGGTGAGACCCGTCCTGATGGATGACATGTGGCATTCACAAATCACAAAGCATCTAATCTCTCTCCCCCCTGATTTTAAGTGGGGGGTGGGCGATGCTTTGTGATTTGTGAATGCCACGTGTCATCCATCAGGATG